CCCTCCCCCTCCCCCACCCCCCCCGCCCCACTACCCCCTCACCCCCCTCCCCCCACTACCCCCCTCTGTCGAGTGATTTGCAGATTATTTTCAGCAGTGGAGTTGTGGTTTTGCCCATTTCTCGTTCCGCTCGGTGTGGGTTTGACTTTGACTGTGGGAGGAAACCCATGAAGAACACGGGGAGATCATACAAACTCCACTCTCACTCTCTGTAGAACAACACTGCACCATAGACTCAACACTGCACCACAAACTCAACACTGCACCATAGACTCAACACTGCACCATAGACTCAACACTGCACCACAGACTCAACACTGCACCATAGACTCAACACTGCACCACAAACTCAACACTGCACCATAGACTCAACACTGCACCACAAACTCAACACTGCACCATAGACTCAACACTGCACCATAGACTCAACACTGCACCACAAACTCAACACTGCACCATAGACTCAACACTGCCCCATAGACTCAACACTGCACCATAGACTCAACACTACCCACAGACTCAACACTACCCACAGACTCAACACTGCACCACAAACTCAACACTGCACCATAGACTCAACACTGCACCATAGACTCAACACTGCACCACAAACTCAACACTGCACCATAGACTCAACACTGCACCATAGACTCAACACTGCACCATAGACTCAACACTGCACCATAGACTCAACACTGCACCATAGACTCAACACTGCACCACAAACTCAACACTGCACCATAGACTCAACACTGCACCATAGACTCAACACTGCACCATAGACTCAACACTGCACCACAAACTCAACACTGCACCATAGACTCAACACTGCCCCATAGACTCAACACTGCACCACAAACTCAACACTGCACCACAAACTCAACACTGCACCATAGACTCAACACTGCACCATAGACTCAACACTGCACCATAGACTCAACACTGCACCATAGACTCAACACTGCACCACAAACTCAACACTGCACCATAGACTCAACACTGCACCATAGACTCAACACTGCACCACAAACTCAACACTGCACCATAGACTCAACACTGCACCATAGACTCAACACTGCACCACAAACTCAACACTGCACCATAGACTCAACACTGCACCATAGACTCAACATGCACCTAGACTCAACACTGCACCATAGACTCAACACTGCACCATAGACTCAACACTGCACCACAAACTCAACACTGCACCATAGACTCAACACTGCACCATAGACTCAACACTGCACCACAAACTCAACACTGCACCATAGACTCAACACTGCACCATAGACTCAACACTGCACCATGAACTCAACACTGCACCATAGACTCAACACTGCACCACAAACTCAACACTGCACCATAGACTCAACACTGCACCATAGACTCAACACTGCACCACAAACTCAACACTGCACCATAGACTCAACACTGCACCATAGACTCAACACTGCACCATGAACTCAACACTGCACCATAGACTCAACACTGCACCACAAACTCAACACTGCACCATAGACTCAACACTGCACAATAGACCCAACACTGCACCATAGACTCAACACTGCACCATAGACTCAACACTGCCCATAGACTCAACACTGCACCATAGACTCAACACTGCACCATAGACTCAACACTACCCACAAACTCAACACTGCACCACAAACTCAACGCTGCACCACAAACTCAACACTGCCCATAGACTCAACACTGCACCACAAACTCAACACTACCCACAGACTCAACACTACCCACAGACTCAACACTGCCCCATAGACTCAACACTGCACCATAGACTCAACACTACCCACAGACTCAACACTACCCACAGACTCAACACTACCCACAGACTCAACACTGCACCATAGACTCAACACTGCCCATAGACTCAACACTACCCACAGACTCAACACTACCCATAGACTCAACACTGCACCATAGACTCAACACTGCACCATAGACTCAACACTGCACCACAGACTCAACACTACCCACAGACTCAACACTACTCACAGACTCAACACTACCCACAGACCCAACACTACCCACAGACCCAACACTACCCACAGACTCAACACCCTTTGCCTCTGTGTGTGTCTCTCAGAGCTGTACTACGACCGCGGCAACCACCACGAGTTCGTGTCGCTGGTGAAGGACGTGGCACGGCCCGGGGAGCTCACCCAGTCGCAGTCCTTCGATTTTGAGTTCACGCACGTTGAGAAGCCCTACGAGAGCTACTCGGGACAGAACGTGAAGCTCAGGTGGGCTCGCTCACTCGCTCACTCGTAGACTCACTCAGAGACTCACTCAGAGACTCACTCAGAGACTCACTCACTCACTCAGAGACTCGCACAGAGACTCAGTCATAGACTCACTCAGAGACTCACTCAGAGACTCACTCAGAGACTCACGCATAGACTCACTCACTCAGAGACTCACTCATAGACTCACTCATAGACTCACTGACGTAGACTCTAGAACTCAGACTCTCAGGCTCAGAGACTCACTCATAGACCGGCGAGCTCACCCAGTCGCAGTGCTTCGACTTTGAGTTCACGCACGTTGAGAAGCCCTACGAGAGCTACTCGGGACAGAACGTCAAACTCAGGTGGGTCCTTCACTCGTTCACTCGTGGACTGGTGGACTCAGACTCATACACTCACTCAGAGACTCACTCACTCACTCATAGACTCACTCACTCACTCAGAGACTCACTCAGAGACTCACTCAGAGACTCACTCAGAGACTCACTCAGAGACTCACTCATAGACTCGCGCATAGACTCACTCACTCAGAGACTCACTCAGAGACTCGCTCATAGACTCACTCATATACTCACTCATAGACTCATAGACTCACTCACTCAGAGACTCACTCAGAGACTCACTCACTCAGAGACTCACTCATAGACTCACTCATAGACTCACTCACTCAGAGACTCACTCAGAGACTCACTCAGAGACTCAGTCACTCATAGACTCACTCAGAGACTCACTCAGAGACTCACTCAGAGACTCACTCAGAGACTCACTCATAGACTCACTCATAGACTCACTCACTCAGAGACTCACACAGAGACTCACTCACTCAGAGACTCACTCATAGACTCACTCACTCAGAGACTCACTCAGAGACTCACTCAGAGACTCAGTCACTCATAGACTCACTCATAGACTCACTCATAGACTCACTCAGAGACTCACTCAGAGACTCACTCAGAGACTCACTCAGAGACTCACTCACTCACTCATAGACTCACTCATAGACTCACTTACTCATAGACTCACTAATAGACTCACTCAGAGACTCACTCAGAGACTCACTCAGAGACCGGCGAGCTCACGCAGTCGCAGTGCTTCGACTTTGAGTTCACGCACGCCGAGAAGCCCTACGAGAGCTACTCGGGACAGAACGTGAAGCTCAGGTGGGCTCGCTCACTCGTGGACTCAGACTCGTACACTCATAGACTCACTCATAGACTCACTCATAGACTCACTCAGACTCACTCAGAGACTCACTCAGACTCACTCAGAGACTCACTCAGAGACTCACTCAGAGACTCACTCATAGACTCACTCATAGACTCACTCAGAGACTCACCGATAGACTCACGCATAGACTCACTCACTCACTCATAGACTCACTCACTCAGAGACTCACTAATAGACTCACTCATAGACTCACTCATAGACTCACTCAGAGACTCACTCATAGACTCACTCAGAGACTCACTCAGAGACTTACTCATAGACTCACGCATAGACTCACTCATAGACTCACTCACTCATAGACTCACTCATAGACTCACTCATAGACTCACTCAGATACTCACTCATAGACTCACTCATAGACTCACTCAGAGACTCACGCATAGACTCACTAACACAGAGACTCACTCATAGACTCACTCATAGACTCACGCATAGACGCACTCATAGACTCACTCATAGACTCACGCATAGACTCACTAACACAGAGACTCACTCATAGACTCACTCATAGACTCACTCATAGACTCACTCAGATACTCACTCATAGACTCACTCATAGACTCACTCAGAGACTCACGCATAGACTCACTAACACAGAGACTCACTCATAGACTCACTCATAGACTCACGCATAGACGCACTCATAGACTCACTCAGAGACTCGCGCATAGACGCACACACTCAGAGACTCACTCAGAGACTCACTCACTCACTCAGAGACTCACTCAGAGACTCACTCAGATACTCACTCAGAGACTCACGCATAGACTCACTCATAGACTCACTCACTCACAGACTCACGCACAGACTCACGCACAGACTCACTCAGAGACTCACTCAGAGACTCACTCAGAGACTCACTCAGAGACTCACTCAGAGACTCACTCATAGACTCACTCAGAGACTCATGCATAGACTCACTCATAGACTCACTCACTCAGAGAGTCACTCACAGACTCACGCACAGACTCACGCACAGACTCACGCACAGACTCACTCAGAGACTCACTCAGAGACTCACTCATAGACTCACTCACTCATAGACTCACTCAGAGACTCACTCAGATACTCACGCACAGACTCACTCATAGACTCACGCATAGACGCACACACACGCTCACACACGCACACACACGCTATCACACGGACACACACGCACATACACGCTATCACACGGACACACGCACACTTACGCGCGTGCGCATTCATGGGGTGGATGAAGAGAGGGCAGCGCAGGTTTAATCTGCGATTTCTTTTGACGTCGCAGTCGGATGAGCGCCGGAGTTAGGAGGCTAAACCTGGTCGAAGGGGGGGGGGAGGGGGGGGGAGGGGGGGGGGGCGAGCCCCTCCCCCCGTCCCCCACGCGGGGCCACCCAGAATGACAACCTGCGGCAGTGAGGACTAGGACAGAGTCGTGTTCAATAGAGCGGCCACCCCCCCCCCCACCTCTTAGGAGGTTTGCACCCGGGCGCGTGCGAATGGGCACCCCCAGAGTCAGCTTGCCCTGTGGGGCACGGTGTGACCCGGCACCCGCCCCGCGCGCTGGCGTCGGTCAGCTGCGATGGTCGCTGCTGCCGCCCCCGCCGCTGCTGTGTGGTTTGGCCTAGGGGCACCCCCAGCGGCAGCTGCCCCTGTGGGGCATGGTGTGACTCTGCACCTGGCACTGCGAGCTGGCGTCAGACAGTTGCCAGCGGGGGCGATCCCTGCTCCTGCTGCGTGTGTGTGCGCGTGCGATCCCAACGGAGACATTTTAGAAACGCGCGTAGGCACACGTGAACACAGGGACACGCGGGGAGACACGCGGGGAGAGACATACAGATGCACACAGGGAGACCACATAGACACACGTGAACACAGGGACACGCGGGGAGACACGCGGGAGACACGCGGGGAGAGATGTACAGGCGCACATGGGGGGACCACGTGGGCACACGTGGTGATGGTGACGTTGACGATGGTGATGAAGGTGATGTTGACGATGATGACGGTGATGATGGTGACGATGACGACGGTGACGTTGACGATGGAGATGTCGGTGATGTTGACGATGATGACGGTGATGATGGTGACGATGACGACGGTGACGATGGAGATGTCGGTGACGTTGATGTTGGTGATGACGGTGACGTTGATGATGGTGACGGTGGCGTTGATGATAGTGGCGTTGATGATGGTGACGTTGACTACGATGATGACGGTGACGATGGTGATGATGACGTTGACGACGATGATGACGTTGACGACGATGATGACGTTGACGATGATGATGAAGGTGACGTTGACGATGATGACGGTGACGATGACGTTGACGGTGATGTTGACGATAATGATGACGTTGACGACGACGATGACGATGATGTTGACGATGATGACGGTGACGATGACGTTGACGGTGATGTTGACGATGATGACGGTGACGTTGACGATGATGACGTTGACGATGGTGAAGATGACGTTAACGATGGTGATGATGACGTTGACGATGGTGACGATGACGATGACAATGGTGACGTTGACGATGATGACGTTGACGATGGTGACGATGACGTTGACGATGGTGATGATGACGTTGACGATGGTGACGTTGACGTTGACGTTGACGATGGTGACGATGACGTTGACGATGGTGATGATGACGTTGACGATGGTGATGATGACGTTGACGATGGTGACGTTGACGGTGGTGACGTTGACGGTGACATTGACAATGGTGACGTTGACGATGGTGACGTTGACGATGATGACGTTGACGATGGTGACGTTGACGATGGTGACGTTGACGATGACATTGACAATGGTGACGTTGACGATGGTGACGTTGACGATGATGACGTTGACGGTGACATTGACAATGGTGACGTTGACGATGGTGACGTTGACGATGATGACGTTGACGATGGTGACGTTGACGATGGTGACGTTGACGATGATGACGTTGACGATGATGACGTTGACAATGGTGACGTTGACGATGACATTGACAATGGTGACGTTGACGATGGTGACGTTGACGATGGTGACGTTGACGATGATGACGTTGACAATGGTGACGTTGACGATGACATTGACAATGGTGACGTTGACGATGGTGACGTTGACAATGGTGACGTTGACGATGACATTGACAATGGTGACGTTGACGATGGTGACGTTGACAATGGTGACGTTGACGATGGTGACGTTGACAATGGTGACGTTGACGATGACATTGACAATGGTGACGTTGACGATGGTGACGTTGACAATGGTGACGTTGACGATGACATTGACAATGGTGACGTTGACAATGATGACGTTGACGATGATGACATTGACGACGATGACATTGACAATGGTGACGTTGACGATGGTGACGTTGACGATGATGACATTGACGACGATGACATTGACAATGGTGACGTTGACGATGGTGACGTTGACGATGGTGACGTTGACGATGATGACGTTGACGACGATGACATTGACAATGGTGACGTTGACGATGGTGACGTTGACGACGATGACATTGACAATGGTGACGTTGACGATGGTGACGTTGACGATGATGACGTTGACGACGATGACGTTGACAATGGTGACGTTGACGATGGTGACGTTGACGATGGTGACGTTGACGATGATGACGTTGACAATGGTGACGTTGACGATGGTGACGTTGACAATGGTGACGTTGACAATGGTGACGTTGACGATGATGACGTTGACAATGGTGACGTTGACGATGGTGACGTTGACAATGGTGACGTTGACAATGGTGACGTTGACGATGATGACGTTGACGATGGTGACGTTGACGATGATGACGTTGACAATGGTGACGTTGACGATGGTGACGTTGACGATGATGACGTTGACAATGGTGACGTTGACGATGGTGACGTTGACGATGGTGACGTTGACAATGGTGACGTTGACGATGGTGACGTTGACAATGGTGACGTTGACGATGGTGACGTTGACGATGGTGACGTTGACGATGGTGACGTTGACGATGGTGACGTTGACGATGATGACGTTGACAATGGTGACGTTGACGATGGTGACGTTGACGATGGTGACGTTGACGATGGTGACGTTGACGATGGTGACGTTGACGATGGTGACGTTGACGATGATGACGTTGACAATGGTGACGTTGACGATGGTGACGTTGACGATGATGACATTGACGATGGTGACGTTGACGATGATGATGTTGACGATGGTGACGTTGACGATGATGACGTTGACAATGGTGACGTTGACGATGATGACGTTGACGATGATGACGTTGACGATGGTGACGTTGACGATGATGACGTTGACGATGGTGACGTTGACAATGGTGACGTTGACAATGGTGACGTTGACGATGATGACGTTGACGATGATGACGTTGACGATGGTGACGTTGACGATGATGACGTTGACGATGATGACGTTGACGATGATGACGTTGACGATGGTGACGTTGACGATGGTGACGTTGACGATGGTGACGTTGACGATGATGACGTTGACGATGATGACGTTGACGATGGTGACGTTGACGATGATGACGTTGACGATGATGACGTTGACGATGATGACGTTGACGATGGTGACGTTGACAATGGTGACGTTGACGATGGTGACGTTGACGATGGTGACGTTGACGATGGTGACGTTGACAATGGTGACGTTGACGATGGTGACGTTGACGATGGTGACGTTGACGATGGTGACGTTGACGATGGTGACGTTGACAATGGTGACGTTGACGATGGTGACGTTGACAATGGTGACGTTGACGATGGTGACGTTGACAATGGTGACGTTGACGATGGTGACATTGACGATGGTGACGTTGACGATGGTGACGTTGACAATGGTGACGTTGACGATGGTGACGTTGACGATGGTGACGTTGACAATGGTGACGTTGACGATGGTGACGTTGACAATGGTGACGTTGACGATGGTGACATTGACGATGGTGACGTTGACGATGGTGACGTTGACAATGGTGACGTTGACGATGGTGACGTTGACGATGGTGACGTTGACAATGATGACGTTGACGATGATGACGTTGACGATGATGACGTTGACAATGACAATGGTGACGTTGACGATGGTGACGTTGACGATGATGACGATGACATTGACAATGGTGACGTTGACGATGATGACGTTGACGATGGTGACGTTGACGATGATGACGTTGACGATGATGACGTTGACGATGATGACGATGACATTGACAATGGTGACGTTGACGATGGTGACGTTGACGATGGTGACGTTGACGATGATGACGTTGACGATGGTGACGTTGACAATGGTGACGTTGACGATGGTGACGTTGACGATGGTGACGTTGACGATGGTGACGTTGACGATGATGACGTTGACGATGGTGACGTTGACAATGGTGACGTTGACAATGGTGACGTTGACAATGGTGACGTTGACGATGATGACGTTGACGATGGTGACGTTGACGGTGGTGACGTTGACAATGGTGACGTTGACAATGGTGACGTTGACAATGGTGACGTTGACGATGGTGACGTTGACGATGGTGACGTTGACAATGGTGACGTTGACAATGGTGACGTTGACGATGGTGACGTTGACGATGGTGACGTTGACAATGGTGACGTTGACAATGGTGACGTTGACGATGGTGACGTTGACGATGGTGACGTTGACAATGGTGACGTTGACAATGGTGACGTTGACGATGGTGACGTTGACGATGGTGACGTTGACGATGATGACGTTGACGATGGTGACGTTGACGATGGTGACGTTGACGATGGTGACGTTGACAATGGTGACGTTGACAATGATGACGTTGACGATGGTGACGTTGACGATGGTGACGTTGACGATGGTGACGTTGACGATGACATTGACGATGGTGACGTTGACGATGATGACGTTGACGATGGTGACGTTGACGATGGTGACGTTGACGATGGTGACGTTGACGATGATGACGTTGACGGTGACATTGACAATGGTGACGTTGACGATGGTGACGTTGGCGATGATGGTGATGACGGTGATGGTGATGACGGTGACGTTGACGATGATGACGTTGACAATGGTGACGTTGACGACGGTGACGTTGACGATGGTGTTGATGACGGTGACGTTGACGATGCCGCTGCGCCAGGTACTTCCTGCGAGCAACGATGTCGCGCCGCCTCAGCGACGTGGTGAAGGAGATGGAGCTGCTGGTGCACACGCTGAGCACCTACCCAGAGCTCAACAATCCCATCAAGATGGAGGTCGGCATCGAGGACTGCCTCCACATCGAGTTCGAGTACAACAAGTCAAAGTGAGGACTCACCGCTCACCGCTCGCTCGCTCACCTTCTCACTCACTCGCTCGCCCCTCACCCTCTCACTTGCTCACCCTCTCACTCGCTCACCCTCTCACTCACTCGCTCGCCCCTCACCCTCTCACTTGCTCACCCTCTCACTCGCTCACCCTCTCACTCGCTCACCCTCTCACTCGCTCACCCTCTCACTCGCTCACTCGCTCACTCGCTCATCCTCTCACTCACTCGCTCGCTCACTCACTCACCCTCTCACTCACTCACCCGCTCGCTCGCTCACCCTCTCACTCACTCGCTCGCCCACTCACCCTCTCACTCGCTCACCCTCTCGCTCACTCGCTCACCCTCTCACTCACTCACTCACCCTCTCACTCGCTCACCCTCTCACCGCTCACCCTCTCACTCGCTCACTCGCTCGCTCACTCGCTCACTCACTCACCTCTCACTCACTCGCTCACTCGCCCACGCCATCACCCGCTCACCCATCTCGCTCGCTCACCGCTCACCCACTCACCCTCTCACTCGCTCACCCTCTCACCGCTCACCCTCTCACTCGCTCACCCTCTCACTCACCGCTCGCTCGCTTACTCACTCGTCCACGCCATCTCCCGCTCACTCACTCGGCCGCTCGCTCGCTCACCCTCTCACTCACCGCTCGCTCGCTCACCCTCCCACTCACTCGTCCATGCCATCTCCCGCTCACTCACTCGCCCACTCGCTCGCTCACTCACTGGTCGCTGACACACCCTCTCACTCACTCGCTCGCTCGCCCACGCCATCACCCGCTCACCCATCTCGCTCACTCACCGCTCACCCACTCACTCACTCACCCTCTCACTCACTCGCTCACTCTCTCACTCACCCTCTCACTCACTCGCTCGCTCACTCGCTCACCCTCTCACTCGCTCACTCGCTCACCCTCTCACTCGCTCACTCACTCACCCTCTCACTCACTCACCCACTCACCGCTCACTCGCTCACTCACTCGCTCACCCTCTCACTCACTCGCTCACCCTCTCACTCACTCGCTCACTCGCTCACTCGCCCACGCCATCACCCGCTCACCCATCTCGCTCACTCACCGCTCACCCACTCACCCACTCACCGCTCACAGCTCACTCGCTCACCCTCTCACCCCCTCGCTCACTCGCTCACTCGCTCAGCCTCTCACTCACTCACCCGCTCGCTCGCCCACGCCATCACCCGCTCACCCATCTCGCTCACTCACCGCTCACCCACTCACCCACTCACCCACTCACTGCTCACAGCTCACTCGCTCACCCTCTCACCCCCCTCGCTCACTCGCTCACTCGCTCGCTCGCCCACGCCATCACCCGCTCACCCATCTCGCTCGCTCACCGCTCACCCACTCACCCACTCACCGCTCACTCGCTCACTCGCTCACCCTCTCACTCACTCGCTCGCTCGCCCACGCCATCACCCGCTCACCCATCTCGCTCACTCACCGCTCACCCACTCACCCACTCACCGCTCACTCGCTCGCCCTCTCACTCGCTCGCCCTCTCACTCACTCACCCTCTCACTCGCTCACTCGCTCACCCGCTCGCTCGCTCACTCACCACTCACTCACCCGCTCGCTCGCTCGCTCACTCCCCACTCACTCACCCGCTCGTCCACTCACCCGCTCGCTCGCTCACTCACCACTCACTCACCCGCTCGCTCGCTCACTCACCACTCACTCACCCGCTCACTCACTCACCCACTCACTCACCCGCTCACTCACTCACCCACTCGCTCACCCGCTCACCCACTCACCCACTCACCCACTCACCGCTCACAGCTCACTCGCTCACCCTCTCACTCGCTCGCTCGCCCACGCCATGACCCGCTCACCCATCTCGCTCGCTCACCGCTCACCCACTCACCCACTCACTCGCTCGCCCTCTCACTCGCTCGCCCTCTCACTCACTCACCCTCTCACTCGCTCACTCGCTCACTCGCTCACCCTCTCACTCGCTCACTCGCTCACTCGCTCACCCTCTCACTCGCTCACTCACTCACCCTCTCACTCACTCACCCGCTCGCTCGCTCACCCTCTCACTCGCTCACCCTCTCACTCGCTCACTCACTCACCTTCTCACTCACTCACCCGCTCGCTCGCCCTCTTACTCGCTCACCCACGCCATCTCCCGCTCACCGCTCACTCGCTCACCCTCTCACTCGCTCACTCACTCACTCGCTCGCCTGCTCGCTCGCTCACTCACTGGTCGCTGACACACCCTCTCACTCACTCGCCCTCGCCATCACTCGCTCACTCACTCGCCCGCTTGCTCACTCACTGGTCGCCGACTCACCCTCTCACTCACTCGCCCACGCCATCACCCACTCACTTGCCTGCTTGCTCACTCACTCACCCGCTCGCCCACTCACCCGCTCGCTCGCTCACTCACCACTCACTCACCCGCTCGCTCGCTCACTCACCCACTCACTCACCCGCTCGTCCACTCACCCGCTCGCTCACTCACCACTCACTCACCCGCTCGCTCGCTCACTCACCACTCACTCATCCGCTCGCTCGCTCACTCACCACTCACCCGCTCGCTCACTCACCCACTCACTCACCCGCTCGCCCACTCACCCGCTCGCTCGCTCACTCACCACTCACTCACCCGCTCACTCACTCACCCACTCACTCACCCGCTCGCTCCCTCACTCACCTAACGGACGTGATCGTGGTGGTGGTGGTGGTGGTTGTGGTCATGCAGGTACCACCTGAATGACGTGATCGTGGTGGTGGTGGTTGTTGTTGCTATGCAGGTACCACCTGAATGACATCATGGTTGTGCTGGTGGTTGTTGCTATGCAGGTACCACCTGAATGACGTGATCGTGGTGGTGGTTGTGGCCATGCAGGTACCACCTGAAGGACGCGATCGTGGTGGTTGTTGCCGTGCAGGTACCACCTGAAGGACGTCATTGTGGTGGTGGTGGTTGTTGCCGTGCAGGTACCACCTGAATGACGTCATTGTGGTGGTTGTTGCCATGCAGGTACCACCTGAAGGACGTGATCGTGGTGGTGGTGGTTGTTGCCATGCAGGTACCACCTGAAGGACGTGATCGTGGTGGTTGTTGCCATGCAGGTACCACCTGAAGGACGTGATTGTGGTGGTTGTTGCCGTGCAGGTACCACCTGAATGACGTCATTGTGGTGGTTGTTGCCATGCAGGTACCACCTGAAGGACGTGATCGTGGTGGTGGTGGTTGTTGCCATGCAGGTACCACCTGAAGGACGTGATCGTGGTGGTTGTTGCCATGCAGGTACCACCTGAAGGACGTGATCGTGGTGGTTGTTGCCATGCAGGTACCACCTGAAGGACGTGATCGTGGTGGTTGTTGCCATGCAGGTACCACCTGAAGGACGTGATTGTGGTGGTTGTTGCCGTGCAGGTACCACCTGAAGGACGCGATCGTGGTGGTTGTTGCCGTGCAGGTACCACCTGAAGGACGTCATTGTGGTGGTGGTGGTTGTTGCCATGCAGGTACCACCTGAAGGACGTGATCGTGGTGGTTGTTGCCATGCAGGTACCACCTGAAGGACGTGATCGTGGTGGTTGTTGCCATGCAGGTACCACCTGAAGGACGTGATTGTGGTGGTTGTTGCCGTGCAGGTACCACCTGAAGGACGCGATCGTGGTGGTTGTTGCCGTGCAGGTACCACCTGAAGGACGTCATTGTGGTGGTGGTGGTTGTTGCCATGCAGGTACCACCTGAAGGACGTGATCGTGGGCAAGATCTACTTCCTGCTGGTGCGTATCAAGATCAAGCACATGGAGATTGACATCTGTCGGCGCGAGACGACGGGCAGCGGGCCCAACGTGTTCCACGAGAACGACACCATCGCCAAGTACGAGATCATGGACGGGGCGCCCGTCAGAGGTGAGGCCGCCACCGCCACTACCGCCACCACCGCCACCACTGCTACCGCCACCGCCACCGCCGCCACTACCGCCACCACCACCACTGTCACCACCACTGCTACCGCCACCGCCGCCACTACCGCCACCGCCGCCACTACCGCCACCACCACCACTGTCACCACCACTGCTACCGCCACCGCCGCCACTACCGCCACCGCCGCCACCATCACCGCCACCACCACCACTGTCACCACCACTGCCGCCACCACTCCCACGGCCACTACCGCCACCACCACCACCACCGCCGCCACTGCCACCACCACCACGGCCACTACCGCCACCGCCATTACCGCCACCACTACCGTGCCTCCACACACACACACCACCTTGCCTCACTCACCCACTCACTCACCCACTCACTCACCCCCTCACTCACCCACTCACTCACCCCCTCGCTCACCCCTCACTCACCCCTCACTCACCCCCTCACTCACCCCCTCATTCACCCCCCTCTCTCCCCCTCACCAGGTGAGTCGATCCCCATCCGCCTGTTCCTCGCCGGCTACGACCTCACTCACCCCTCACTCACCCCTCACTCACCCTCTCACTCACCCCCCCTCTCACTCACCCCCTCACTCACCCCCCCCTCTCACTCACCCCCTCACTCACCCCCCCTCCCCTCCCTCCCCCCCCCTCACCAGGTGAGTCGATCCCCATCCGCCTGTTCCTCGCCGGCTACGACCTCACTCACCCTCTCACTCACTCACCCACTCACCCTCTCACCCCTCCCCTCACCAGGTGAGTCGATCCCCATCCGCCTGTTCCTCGCCGGCTACGACCTCACTCACCCCCTCACTCACCCCCCCCTCCCCTCCCCCCCTCTCACTCACCAGGTGAGTCGATCCCCATCCGCCTGTTCCTCGCGGGCTACGACCTCACTCACCCCTCACTCACCCCCCCTCCCCTCCCCCCCTCTCACTCACCAGGTGAGTCGATCCCCATCCGCCTGTTCCTCGCCGGCTACGACCTCACTCACCCCTCACTCACCCCCCCTCCCCTCCCCCCCTCTCACTCACCAGGTGAGTCGATCCCCATCCGCCTGTTCCTCGCCGGCTACGACCTCACTCACCCCTCACTCACCCCCCCTCCCCTCCCCCCCTCTCACTCACCAGGTGAGTCGATCCCCATCCGCCTGTTCCTCGCCGGCTACGACCTCACTCACCCCTCACTCACCCCCCCTCCCCTCCCCCCCTCTCACTCACCAGGTGAGTCGATCCCCATCCGCCTGTTCCTCGCCGGCTACGACCTCACTCACCCCTACTCTCTCACTCACCCCTCACTCACCCCCTCACTCACCCCCCCTCCCCTCCCCCCCTGTCACTCACCAGGTGAGTCGATCCCCATCCGCCTGTTCCTCGCCGGCTACGACCTCACTCACCCCCCCCCTCTCACTCACCCCTCACTCACCCCCTCACTCACCCCTCACTCACCCCCCCTCCCCTCCCCCCCTCTCACTCACCAGGTGAGTCGATCCCCATCCGCCTGTTCCTCGCCGGCTACGACCTGACGCCGACGATGCGCGACGTGAACAAGAAGTTCAGCGTGCGCTACTTCCTCAACCTCGTCCTCATCGACGAGGAGGAGAGGAGGTACTTCAAGCAGCAGGTGAGTCGCCGCTGAGCCTACCTAGGGGCGGCACGCGCGCGGGGCCCCTTGAGGCGCGATCCGTGGCGCCGCGGTGCCGCGAAACCACCCCCCCCCCCGTGACCCCCCCTCGTGACCCTCCCCCCGTGACCCCCCCCCCGTGACCCCCCCCCGTGACGTGACCCCCCCCCCCGTGACCCCACCCCCGTGACGTGACCCCCCCCCCCCCCCCGTGACCCCGTGACCCCGGCTCGACTCTTCGCTACTGGCTAACGGCGCTTGCCCCGTCGGTCTGTTGAGGCTGTACGGCGGGGCATCTTTGTGCGCGCTGTGTACGTGTGAACGTGTGTGTGCGTGTGTGTACGTGTGTGTGTGTGTGCGTGTGTACGTGTGTGCGTGTGTACGTGTGTGTGTGTGTACGTGTGTGTACGTGTGAACGTGCGTGTGTGTGCGTGTACGTGTGAACGTGTGAACAATTCTGTGTATCTGTGTGTGTGTGTGTGTGAACGTGTGTGTGTGTGTACGTGTGAACGTGTGTGTGTACGTGTGAACGTGTGTGTGCGTGTGTGTGTATGTGTACGTGTGAGCGTGTGTGCGTGTACGTGTATGTATGTGTACGTGTGAGCGTATCTGTGTGTGTGTGTGTATGAATACGTGTGTGTCTATGTGTGTGCGTGTACCGTTCCGGCCTTCATAGGTGCTCGCTAATAGCACTTTCCCCTACAGTCTGTGAAGGCTATACGGGGGATCTTTGTATGTATACGTGTGTGTGTGTATGTATACTTGTGTGTGTGTATATGTGTGTGTATGTATACGTGTGTGTGTGGGGATGGCATCATCCCCCACTCCTCCTGATGTCGAGGGTAAATGGGCGAGGTTTAGGACTGTGACTCATGCAGCTGCAATGGCTGCTTTGGGTACGCGGTCCAGACCTCCCCAGAGACCCTGGCTGACAGAGGAGGTGTTCAGGATAGTTGAGAAAAAGCGACAGGCCCACTCTCATCGGCTACAGCATCCCACGTCAGAGAATGAGGAGGCTTACCGCAGCCTTCGCTCGGAGGTTCGGAGAGCCGTAAGGCGCTGCAAGGATGGGTGGTGGTCGCGGGTTGCTGAGGAGATGGAGTCTGCCTCAGTGGCCCGCGATCACAAATCACGATTTAACTCCATCAAAAAGTAACCTGCAGCGCCACACCTATTACCATCATTAGGGGAAAGAACGGTGATCCAATCTCTGACCTCCAGGAACAGGTTTGCAGATTTGCTGAGCATTTCTGTGAGGTCCTGGGGGAGGAGAAATCCCTCAGCCTGGAAAACATTGTGGGACAAAGTGGGGATGACCCTTCTGAGGCTGCGGTGCCTGAAATATTGGAAAAAGTCACCCACTGTGAGTGGCTGGCTGAGGTGTCATCTGTTGATAAAGTACTGAAGGCGATCCAGAGTCTGAGACCAGGAAAGGCACCGGGCAGAGATGATTTCCCAAGAGAAATGCTGTGGGAGGGTGGCGTTTGTGCACAGACTGCCCTACATGACATCATAACAACAGTCTGGGCCACTGGACAGGTTTCGCAGGATTGGAAGGATGCCCTGGTGGGCCTGGGCTCTGGGTTGTTCTTCATGTTTTCGGAGTCCCTGACCCTCTGCTCACGATCATTAAGGACCTTCATGATGGTGAACGGGCCCGGGTAAAACTACGTGGCCTCTTGCTCCCACATTATTTAACATCTATTTGACCACGTAGTTCGTGAAGCCTTCGATGGCTGTACCTAAGGAATTTCCATCTGGTACAGATACAATGGGAGGCTGATCGATGCCCGGGTGCGGTCAAGGGATGGCTCCCTATTGGTCAACCACGTTATGTATGCCCATGATCTGGTAATTGCTGCTCACTCAGAGGAGGAGTTGGAGGCACTGCTGCTCAACCAGTAGCTTGCCACTAAGAGGTGGGGTCTTACCATCAGCCCCACCCAAATTAAGCACCTGCCTGGGTATTTTGTACCATCGGACACTCCACCCCCACAACTCCCAATTGGTGAAGGGGCAGTTGTGGAGAGTTTCCCATACCTGGGCAGTGTGCTCATGACCGGCTCGGGTTTGACAGCAGAGGTCTCACTCAGAATCAGTTGAGCGGCATTATTTTTTCATCCGTTGCATTACGCTGTGTGGAAGCTACCTGGTCTGTCGCTCCGCACGAAGCTGCAGGTCTTCTCGGCCACAGTCATTCATGGACCCCCATAATGGAACATCTTCGCCGGTTAGAAACATTTAGGCTGGCCTGCCTACGATCCATCCTGGGTTTAACCAGGGTGGATTGTGTGAGAAGCTCACAAATCCTTGAAAGATCTGGGCAAAGTCCCATCGGTGAGCTCCTCCGGCAGGCAAGGCTGCGTTGGCTGGGTCATGTAGCCCGCATGCCCAGCCACCGCATGCCGAAACAGCTTTTGTTCAGCCGGATCGAGGGGGCTAAACGGGCGCGGCACGGGCTAGAGAAGAGATGGAGTGATGTGGTACAGGAGGACGTGGGGCTGAGTGGACTTGCCGATGACTGGTACCAGCGGTGTCAAGATCGGCCTCTGTGGAGGAGGCTCGTGAAGGACGCTACTGGGCAGTTGGAGGCAGTCGCCCTCTAACAACAACAGAGGGCGGAGGAGCGACGCTCACAACAACGAGTAGAGTGTCGGGTGGCTAAAGCACAGCAAGTTGGCACAGTAGGGGGCACAGGTGGTGCATCAGCCAGTCATCTCAGTCAGTCGACTCGTGGCACCTGGGTCTGCCCCGTGACCTCCTGCCAGCGGACGTTCGACACTTCACGTGACCTCAACGTGGTGACGTCACCGCCACTTAGTGACGAATTGCGGTTGTTGTTGTCGGTGTATGTATACGTGCACGTGTGTGTATAAACGCGTGTGTGTACACGTGTGTGTGTGTATATATAAACGCGTGTGTGTCTGCGTTGTGTCTGCGTGTGTCTGCGTTGTGTCTACGTTGTGTCTGCGTGTGTCTGCGTGTGTGTCTGTATATACATGTGCGTGTGTCTGCGTGTGTGTCTGCGTGTGTGTGTGCATGTGTGTCTGTATATACATGTGCGTGTGTGTCTGCGTGTGTGTCTGCGTGTGTGTCTGTATATACACGTGCGTGTGTGTCTGCATGTGTGTCTGCGTGTGTGTCTGTATATACATGTGCGTGTGTGTCTGCGTGTGTGTCTGCGTGTGTGTCTGTATATACATGTGCGTGTGTGTCTGCGTGTGTGTCTGCGTGTGTGTCTGCGTTGTCTGTATATACATGTGCGTGTGTGTCTGCGTGTGTCTGTATATACATGTGCGTGTGTGTCTGCGTGTGTGTCTGTATATACATGTGCGTGTGTGTCTGTGTGTGTGTCTGCGTGTGTGTCTGTATATATGCGTGCATGTGTGTCTGCGTGTGTCTGTGTGTATGTATACGCGTGTGTGTCTGCGTGTGTGTCTGCGTGTGTGTCTGTATATACGCGTGCGTGTGTGTATGCGTGTGTCTGCGTGTATGTATACGCGTGTGTGTCTGCGTGTGTGTCTGCGTGTGTGTCTGTATATACGCGTGCGTGTGTGTATGCGTGTGTCTGCGTGTATGTATACGCGTGTGTGTCTGCGTGTGTCTGTGTGTATGTATACGCGTGTGTGTCTGCGTGTGTCTGTGTGTATGTATACGCGTGTGTGTCTGCGTGTGTGTCTGCGCGTGTGTCTGCGTTGTGTCTACGTTGGCAGAATCGCGCGCTGCCCCCCGCGGCGCTGCCCCCCGCCCCCCACTCCACGTCCATTTGCACTTCTCTCTGCCCATCAATGATTCAGTCGCGGTCAGAGCTCGGAGCGCAGCTCATCGCTCTCACACGCCCCCCCCCTCGTCCCCCCCACCCCGTCCCTACCCCCTCGACCCCCCGCCATCCCTACCCCCTCTCTCCTCCTGCCCCCCCCCCCATCCTTCCCTCCCTACCCCCTCGACCCCCCTCTATCCCTACCCACTCTCTCCCCCCTCGACCCCCCGCCCCGCCCCCCCCACCCCTACCCCCTCTCTCCTCCTGCCCCCCCCCATCCCTCCCTACCCCCTCGACCCCCTCCCTCCATCCCTACCCCCTCTCCTCCTCCTGCCCCCCCACCCCTACCCCCTCTCTCCTCCTGCCCCCCCACCCCTACCCCCTCGACCCCCCCATCCCTCCCTCCCCCCTCGACCCCCCGCCCCCCCCACCCCTACCCCCTCTCTCCCTACCTCTTGCCCCCCCATTTCAACCGCCCTCTCCACCCCCCCCCCCCTTTCTCCATGCCACTCAGACCTCTCACTAATTCATGAGCCATAAACACGCCACGCTCACCACCACGCTCACCACCACGCTCACCACCACGCTCACCACCACGCTCACCACCACGCTCACCACCACGCTCACCACCACCACACTCACCACCACCACCACGCTCACTACCACCACACTCACCACCACCACCACGCTCACCACCACCACGCTCACCACCATGCTCACCACCACGCTCACCACCACCACACTCACCACCATGCTCACCACCACGCTCACCACCACCACGCTCACCACCACGCTCACCACCATGCTCACCACCACGCTCACCACCACGCTCACCACCACGCTCACCACCACGCTCACCACCACGCTCACCACCACGCTCACCACCACGCTCACCACCACGCTCACCACCACGCTCACCACCACGCTCACCACCACGCTCACCACCACGCTCACCACCATGCTCACCACCACCACACTCACCACCACCACCACGCTCACCACCACCACACTCACCACCACCACGCTCACCACCACGCTCACCACCACCACACTCACCACCACCACCACGCTCACCACCACCACGCTCACCACCACCACGCTCACCACCACGCTCACCACCACCACGCTCACCACCACCACCACGCTCACCACCACCACGCTCACCACCACGCTCACCACCACGCTCACCACCACCACGCTCACCACCACGCTCACCACCACGCTCACCACCACGCTCACCACCACGCTCACCACCATGCTCACCACCACCACACTCACCACCACCACCACGCTCACCACCACCACACTCACCACCACCACGCTCACCACCACGCTCACCACCACCACACTCACCACCACCACCACGCTCACCACCACCACGCTCACCACCACCACACGCTCACCACTGCACGCTCACCAGCACGTGCTCACCACTGCAGCGGATGGGGGTGTTTGGATCAGTGCTGTAGCGTTGGTGTGTGTGTGGGGTGTGTGGTGTGTGTGGTGTGTGTGTGTGGTGTGTGAGTGGCCCTCAGTGCAACTCTTTGCCGGTAGAGGGGGGTGCGTTCGTGCGCGCGTGTTGCACGTTAAACTTCTTTCGCACCTTACTTGGCCAGCCGTTGTTAATCGGGGGTGTTCATGTTGAAGCGCGCACGTGCGCTGACCGGGCACGCGCAGCCCGTGCCCCCGTCTGCGCGTGTCACAGACGTCATCGCGATGACGATGACACGCTGCTTGCGATATTGACCAGCCAGCGCGTCGCGTGATTCAAACGCCAGGTTTGTTAGAAAGTGTCCAAAATATATTTCAAATGTTCTCGGCGCGCACTGGGTAGTAAGTTTTGCAAGCCCTCGGCGTTCCCTCCCCCCCCAAGATATCGGTGGCAAGCCGACGTGACACCAATATCTTCTCAGTGGCAGTGTATCATTGATGTTTGTGTGTGTGCGTGCGCGCGTGTGTGCCTGATGTAACATGATATGCGTGCGCGTTGTTCTTGTGAAGCATTAGCAGTTGACGCGCTCCGCTACGAACCCCCGATCACCACAGTTCGATCCCTGCTCATGGCCACTAAAATCATTGGCGAACACCTCAACCGGTCCTGGGCCTCTCCTAGGTCGACTCAGCCTCAAATGAGTAACCTGGTGTAGCGGTGTGTAGTAAACATCGCCACTGCGGGAAGACAAAGGCGATCGGGCGTGGTGCTGGCCCCTCATCCCCTTATTGTGCCGTGCCGGTCTTCATAGGCGCTATTCGCGAACAGCACTTGCCCCAAACAGCCTGTTCAGGCTGTACGGGGGATCTTTGCCTTTCCCCCCCCCCCCCCCCCATGTGCTACCAGCACTTGCCCCAACAGCTTGTTCAGGCTGTACGGGGGATCTTTGCCTTTTTCCCCACTCCGTGTGCTACCAGCACTTGCCCCAACAGTCTGTTCAGGCTGTACGGGGGATCTTTGCCTTTTTCCCCGGTGTGTGCTACCAGCACTTGCGCCAACAGCCGGCCTTGTCGGCTACACGGGACGCCTTTTGCCTTTGTCACTGACATCGTCACAACCCGCGTGCTGCCCCCCCCCATGGCCCCCCACTGACCCCCCCTTCCCACCGCCCCCCCCCTCCCCGCCGCCCCCCCGCAGGAGATCACGCTGTGGCGCAAGGGCGACATCGTGCGACGCAGCATGTCCCACCACGCGGCCATCGCCTCCCAGCGCTACGAGAGCCCCCCGCCCGCCCCTCCCCCCGCGGCCTCCACGGGGGAGCCGGGCCCTCCCGGCGGCACCGGTGGCACCGGCCGCTCCCCCGCTCCCGGCGGCGTCGGCGGCATCGGCGGCGCCGGCGGCGACGACTCGGAGCCGCCCCCCCACGCCCCAGCGGCGTTCGCTCGCGGCCAGGCCGACGGGGACGCCCCCCGTGACCTCCTTCGCGACGAGGAGGACTAGCGGTGCTAGCGGGGCTGGCGGTGCTAGCGGGGCTAGCGGTGCTAGCGGTGGGTGACGACCAACTCGGGGCGGGTTTCACTTGAGCTCACGGGTAGCCCGGCTAAGCGAGCTCAGGCTCTGAGGAGGCGGTCACCCGGCACTTGTTAGAATCGAGGAGCTTTAGGCCTCCTCGCTAGGCCTCGCCCGACTGGATGAGGCTTTGCTTTAGGACTCGTTTGACGGAACTTAGACCCCCGACCCCGCTGGACGTTGTTAGAGTTAGGCTTTGCTAGACCTTTGCTAGACTTGGCTTGGGTGTGCTAGATTGAACTGAGCTTTGCTTGACTGCACTGGCCTTGCGGGGCCTTGCAAGGCAGACAAAACCAGCCTTACTCGACGTTATAAGACAGAAGTAGACCTTGCTAGACTTTGCTAGACAACGGGGCCTTGCTAGACCTTAGTACACAGACGTTAGGCCTTGTTCGATTCCGTTAGACAAACCAGACTTTGCTAGACCTTGCTACACAGAAACGGGCTTTATTTACGACTTGCTAAATGCGCCTTGCGAAAACAGAGCTAGGCCTTGCCTCGTCTTGTTTGGTTGAGATCGGGCTTTGCTAGGACTTGCTGGGTAGAACTCGACTTTTCTATGCCCTTCTAGGCCTCACTGGACCACGCTGGCCCCGCCGTGCCCTGCCAGGCAGCAGCCTGGAGCCGCGTCACGACTAGGCCTCGACTAGGCCTCGACTAGGCCTCGCGAACTAGGCCTCGACTAGGCCTCGACTAGGCCTCGACTAGGCCTCGCGAACTAGGCCTCGACTAGGCCTCGCTAACTAGGCCTCGACTAGGCCTCGCTAACTAGGCCTCGCTAACTAGGCCTCGCTAACTAGGCCTCGCTAACTAGGCCTCGACTAGGCCTCGCGAACTAGGCCTCGCTAACTAGGCCTCGCTAACTAGGCCTCGACTAGGCCTCGCGAACTAGGCCTCGAACTAGGCATCGACGAGGCATCGACTAGGCCTCGACTAGGCCTCGACTAGGCCTCGCGAACTAGGCGAGCGGCAGGATGCGTTCGTGCGTCTTAAACTAAGGCCCCGGTTGACAGTCGGTGGGAAAATTCATTGGGGGGGGTGGGGGGAGGTGGGAATGAATTTTGGGGGGGTAGTGGGGGGAGGGGGGCGGTAGGGGGGGGGCGCGGGGGATGATTTAGCTAATTATTGTCAGATTTGTGGTGGGATCAGCGTTGGGCGTTGTAGCTGCGTCCGCGGCTTGGCAGGTGTGTGGCGGGGGCTACGGGGGCAGAGTGGGTGTGGGGTGATGTGGCTGTGAAGTCAGGTGTTTGTTAATAATCTGTAATATTAATATTGAAGGATAGATTATATTTACTTTATAAGAGAATTAAAAATTTGAAGAGAAAAAAAACAACAAACAGCTTTTGAATTTCGATTTAAAGCTTTTTTTCGTGACTGCAGGGATTCATCTTCTCGGTTCTTTCGGTAATGTCATCATGTAGAAGGGAGATAATAAAATAATAAAAATAAAACGTAATAAAATACAATTCTAACGACGTTTCGGCCACAACGCAAGCAGCCGTCCTCGGGTGAAGAATAGGTCTGTCGCAAAGACAGCATCTGAATGAGCACCACCAGGCTTGGCAGCGTATATTTAAGCTGGGTTGGAGGGGGAAGGGCGCCTTGACAAAGGAATTTGCATATCAACAGAGGACTTTAGCATATTTATGGCAAATGCAGATATGGGATTAGTCACTACTTGTGGAATGCGTAGGAGGTGGAGGGGGGTCTCAAAGTCATATTATGCCCGTGCATTATGTAGGATTAGCAGCAACAAAGGGATGAGATAGGGTTAGCAGTAACAAAGGGAAGAAATTTTTATAGTAAGGTCGTGAAAATTGTATTTTATCACGTTCAATTTTTATTATTTTATTATTTCCCTTCTACGTGACTTTACCGAAAGAGCCAAGAAGACGAAACAGCTTTTGCTTACCAACAGAAGCCCCGGCGACGTTCACGGACGAGTCTTGCGGCCGGCGAGATGTTTTGTAAACGCCGGGAGGGGGCGGGGAGAGGAGAGGGGGGCGACGTTTCGCGCGGTTTTCCCTCCGCCACCGCCCCCCCTCACCGTCACGCGCCGGTCTGTGCGGAGCGCGGCGTCGCAGATATAAATATATTTTTTAGCATTCGGGCGGCCGAGGCGTTGTAGGTAGAGAGGCGTCGGCACTAAACTCTTTTTAGCGGGCAGACGCCTCCGGCTAATGCCTCTTGTTGTTATTTTTTTACGCCGCGCAACCGAGTCAGGCCGAGCCAGGCCTGGTGCGGCTCGGTGTGGGGGGGGGGTGGGGGGCCGGGTTGTTTTTTTCCACCGCGCATGCCAAGCCAAGCTTCTGACGTCACAACACGCACGCGGCAAACGAGCCTGGCGCCAGAGGTCGCAAACGGGTTTTGATTCACTATGAGACATCTCCTTTACCAGTGGCAAAATATAGTAGTAGGTTTTTACCCTTTCAACTGGTACAAAAACTGACACCTTCATACAAGGCATCATGTTTGCAATAACCACAACACAAGCAGTCAAAATGCAAACAAAACTCTGATGATGATAATTAACTTCAAGGACAGTGCATATAATTATCATAATCAGAGTTGTTTCTTTTTGTTTCCATTTTGACTGCTTGTGTTGTGGTTATTGCAAACATGATGCCTTGTATAAAGGTGTCAGTTTTTGTACCAGTTTAAAGGGTAAAAACCTACTACTATGAGTTCTGATTCCTTACCCCCCGTACCCGTACCCGGCCGCACCAGGGTTGCAAACGGGTACCCGTACCCGATACCCGGCTACCCGTACCCGGCCGGGTATCGGGTCGCAAACGGGTACTGGATTGCGACCTCTGGGATGAAGCCACGTTGCAGGCGCGGGCGGGTTGATTCTAGGAACTTGAATTGTGAGAAGAGACAAGACGTTGGGAAATGAGTGACAAACGGTGACTCATCAGTGACTCACGGCCTACCCGTACCCGGCCGCACCAGGGTCGGCTACCCGTACCCTACCCATACCCGGCCGGGTATGGGTAGCCGGGTATCGGGTAGGGTACGGGTATCGGGTACCCGGTTGCGACCTCTGCCTGGCACCCCCCTCCTCCTCCTCCCTGCCCCGTGAGCGAATCCACCACGGGTTGGTTCCAGCTCGGCCCGGCAAACGTCCACAGTGGGATAAACCACCCATACCATGCCAGACCCCCCCCACCCCGCGCTGGCTTGGCTCGGATATGCCAGTGGAAAACCCACCCATACCGTGCTGACTTGGCTCGGATGTGGCAGTGGAAAACCCACCCATACCGTGCTGGCCCTGTGCTGGCTTGGCTCGGATGCGCTAGTGGAAAAAAGGGGGGCCCTGGTGGTGCAGGTGTTGGCAGTCTCCTGCCTGGGATTCCTTAGACCAATTAATTTAGTTTTTTGCTAAAATAGTTTAGTACATTTTTACACACTCGTTTTCAAGTTGGAGGAACCACCCACCCCCCCCCCCCCCCCCCATAACGTCGTATCTCGACAACCTTGTTGCTGCACTGGCTCCGGCCACAGGGACCCGTTGCTTTGTTTGGCCAAAGCGTCTTCAAATTCCACTCGCCGCGACCAAACCGCTTTGCCCCCCCGCCCGCCCGCCCGCCCCCCACCCGTACCGACCGCCCTCCATTCGAATACAGAGCCAGCCGTTACGCACCGCACTTGCCCGATGATTGGTAAAGACACGCGCGCGGCACGAACGCGCGTATCGCGCGTTGAACTCCTTTGGTACCGTGCGTGGCAAACCGCGCGAGTCGGAGGTGTGCGGCATGGCAGGAACAACAAACTCAACGCCACAAAAAAATCAAACGCGGCGTAGAGCGCACCGCACGCGCCGGATGATCGCGAATGAGCGGCTCGACTCGTATCGGATCAACTCTACGGGTGCCACCGTCACCCCCCCCCCCCACGACACACACAAGATGGAGCCCATTAATTTAACCCTTTTTAAATCCTTTATATTAAGTTCGCTTGCTTGCTTACGACCGTGCAAATCTTTCGGTCGTTTTTTAACCCACTTCCCGTGATCCAATCGAGCTGACATTTTGCACACAGACTCGTTGTGCGTGACAATTAATGTTCGTGACATTTTTTTCCAAAATTTTACACTGTTTAGGACAAAAATATTATATTTAATTACCAATTGCTTAATGGTGCAATGCAATCACCTGACCCATAGGTGGCAGCCATCTCAAGCCAGAGGACCAGAGGACTCTAGCCGCCACGCATATAAAGGATTTATAGTGAAAAACTTTGTTTTTACGGGTTATACTTGTTAAACCTTCGTAAGGTCGCAGCTGCTTTGTGAAATCCACCGTGGAAGTGACTCTTGTGTCGGTCACCGGGGCGGGGGGGCGGTGAGGGTCGTTTGACCATACTTCACCGCGCCGGTCAACGCTGGCGTGGCGGGCGGGCGGGCCTCCGGGTTTCCTAATGCGGTGCGCTAACCACTGTGCCACCACTCCCCTCCCCACCGCGCCAGGCCAAGCCACGTGTTTGACTGCTTTGTGGCGCTCCTCAAGCCACGTTTCGATGGTTTGTGAGTTCAGAACCGTCGTCACTCCCATCATCCCTTGCGGGGTCAATAAAATGAGCACCGCTTAGTGTCGGGTGCGGTGGGGTGGGGGGGGGAGAAGCCAACCGCGTTTTTGTTCACTGGAATAAACTTCCTCGATGAAAGCCTCAAACTCGAACGCCCATTCTCTCCCCTCCCCTCGCCCCTCCACCCCCTCGCATCCCTCCCCTACCCCTCGTGACCCCCATAACCACCCCCTCTGTCAGGGCCTCCTCCACCCCCTCCCATCTCTCCCCTACCCCCTCGTGATCCCCTAACAAACCCTCTTTATCACGTCCACCTCCACCCCCTCGCATCCCTCCCCTACCCCCTCGTGACCCCCATCACCACCCCTCTACCACGACCACCTCCACCCCCTCCCATCCCTCCCCTACCCCCTTGTGACACCCTAACAAACCCTCTTTATCACGTCCACCTCCTCCCACCCCTCCTCTGCCCAGATATTTCAAGGATTTGTGAGCTCACAACATCCAGCCTGCAGGTTAAACCCAGGATGGATGTTTCCAACCGGCTAAGATGTTCCATTAGGGGGGGGGGGGTCCACGTTTCGCAAGCGTAGAGAAGGGAGGGAATGACCGTGGCCGAGAAGACCTGAAGCTTCGTGCGGAGCGACAGACCAGGTAGCTTCCACACAGCAGTGTTACGCAACCGATGAAAAGATAATGCCGCTCGACTGATTCGGAGTGAGACCTCTGCTGTTAAACCGGAGCCAGTCACACACCCACAAAAACACAAACACACGCAAAGACACACACAAACACAACAACAACCGCCATTCGCCACTAAGTGGCGGTGACGTCACCACGACGCTTGTGCCAGGCCAAGTGCACCTTGAGGCTACCACGTGAAGTGTCGAACGCCCGCTGACAGGAGGTCACGGGGCAGACCCAGCAGGTGCCACGGGTCGACTGACCGAGATGACCGAGATGACTGACTGATGCACCACCTGTGCCCCCTACTGTGTCAACTTGCTGTGCTTTATCCACCCGGCGCTCCGCTCGTTGTTGTGAGCGTCGCTCCTCCGCCCTCCGTTGTTGTTGGAGGGCGACTGCCTCCAACTGCCCAGTAGCGTCCTTCACGAGGCAATACCCTCCATCACCTTGCCTCGAATCACTGAACCAGATTGAATTTAATTAAATGATGACGTTACCCTGATGCTGCTGCTCTAGTTCAGACCGGAAGCAACAGGAGAGCTTCACCATTCTTGCCCGACGAAGCTGATTGTGATTATCAGCGAAACGTCGGACTAGTCACATTGTAAAATGCTGTTGATTCTCTCTTCAGCGCACCACCGGTGGGCTAAAGAAGTCAATTAATTTGTATTTTGTCAACGTGACACTTTTTTACTGATTGGCCGTGTCGGGTGGTGGAGGGTTACGACACATTTATAAATAACGTGAACTGACCCAAAAACCTTGATTATGAATACTACTACACGACTATCCACTACTACACTACACTATCCACTACACTACTATACACTACTACACTATCCACTACACCACACTATCCACTATACACGACTACACCTATACACTACACTACTATACACTACACTACTATACACTATACACTACACTACTATACACTACTATCCACTATACCACACTATACACTACACTACTACACACTACACTACTATCCACTATACCACACTATACACTACTATACACTACACTATACACTACTATACACTACACTATATACTACACTACTACACACTACTATACACTACGCTACTATATACTACACTACTATACACTATACACTACACTACTATACACTATACTACTATACACTACACTATATACTACACTACTATACACTACTACACTACACTACTATACACTACACTATACACTACATTACTATACACTACACACTACACTACTATACACTACTATACACTACACTATACACTACACTACTATACACTACACTATACACTACTATACACTACACTATCCACTACACTACTATACACGACTACACTACTATACACCATCCCTCAAGACGCCTCCACCTGTTGCCGCAGAGGAACGGGAAGGGCAATAAACTCGCGTGAATGGGGGGATATTGATTTAGACTGGCAGGAGGAATCCGAAGAGCTATGACGCTCTTTATTTATTTAATTTGCGGATGTCACAGTCACGGAGGGTGGGGACGTTACAATGACAAACACGACGGCAAGTTCCAAGTAGGCGATTAGCCAAATCGCTTAAATCAAATTTTCGCAATTCAAACTCAACTTTTATTTTAACCAAGGGCCCCCCACTGACCTATGCGGCTCTTCTTCAGAAGCGACCTGGAAATTACAAATTGTAGTTTCGGCGATGATGATGATGATGAGAGAGAGACGCAGACTCCAAACATACAGCAGCAGGCATCGTCAGGGTCGGGATCGAACCCACGACCTCCTGTATACCAGGCGAGGTAGTTAACATCTCATCACCGTGATGATGATGATGAGAGACACGCAAACTCCAAATATACAGCAGCAGGCACCGTCAGGGTCTGGATCGAACCCACGACCTCCTGTAGACCAGACGAGGTAGTTAACATCTCATCACTGTGATGATGATGATGAGACAGAGAGACACGCAAACTACAAATATACAGCAGGCACCGTCAAGGACCCACGACCTCCTGTACACCAGGCGAGGTAGTTAACATCTCATCACTGTGATGATGAGAGAGAGAGATAGAGACGCAAACTCCAACTATACAGCAGCAGGCATCGTCAATGATCGGGACTAAACCCACGACCTCCTGTACATCAGGCGAGGTAGTTAACATCTCACCACCGTGATGATGATGAGAAAGAGGGAGAGACACGCAAACTCCAAATATACAGCAGGCATCGTCAGGGTCGGGATCGAACCCACGACCTCCTGTATACCAGGCGAGGTAGTTAACATCTCATCACCGTGATGATGATGAGAGACACGCAAACTCCAAATATACAGCAGGCATCGTCAAGGATCGAGATCGAACCCACGACCTCCTGTATACCAGGCGAGGTAGTTAACATCTCATCACTGTGATGATGATGAGAGAGAGACACGCAAACTCCAAATATACAGCAGCAGGCGTCGTCAGGGTCGGGGTCAAACCCACGACCTCCTGTAGACCAGGCGAGGTAGTTAACATCTCATCACGATGATGATGATGAGAGAGAGACACGCAAACTCCAAATATACAGCAGCAGGCGTCGTCAGGGTCGGGGTCAAACCCACGACCTCCTGTAGACCAGGCGAGGTAGTCAACATTTCCTCGCCACCGTGATGATGATGATGAGAGAGAGACACGCAAACTCAAAATATACAGCAGCAAGTATCGTCAATGATCGAGATCGAACCCACGACCTCCTGTAGACCAGGCGAGGTAGTTAACATCTCCTAGCCACCGTGATGATGATGATGAGAGAGAGACACGCCAACTCCAAATATACAGCAGGCATCGTCAAGGATCAAGATCGAACCCACGACCTCCTGTACACCAGGCGAGGTAATTAACATCTCATCACGATGATGATGAGAGAGAGAGAGACACGCAAACTCCAAATATACAGCAGCAGGCATCGTCAGGGTCGGGGTCGAACCCACGACCTCCTGTGGACCAGGCGAGGTAGTTAACATCTCCTAGCCACCGTGATGATGATGACAGAGAGAGACACGTAAACTCCAAATATACAGCAGCAGGCATCGTCAAGGATCGAGATTGAACCCACGACCTCCTGTGGAGAGGTAGTTAACATCTCGCATTGCGACCCGAACCCTGTACTGAGCCTTCCGTATAGGTCGACTCAGCCTTAAATAAGTTTCATTCCCCCCTCCCCCCGTTCCCCGCCCTTAAATATAAAACCAAATCAGCATTGGGGAGACAAAGGCGGCCGGTGCGAGGGATGGCACTCACCACACAACCCCCACCCCTCCCCCCGGCCGTACCCGATACCCGGCTACCCGTACCCTACACCCGTACCCGGCCGTAGGGTACGGGTATCGGGTACCCGATTGCGACCTCTGGGATGAAGCCATGTTGCAGGCGCGGGTGGGTTGATTCTAAGAACTTGAATTGTGAGAAGAGACAAGACGTTGGAAAATGATTGACAAACGGTGACTCACCAGTGACTCACGGCCTACCCGTACCCGTACCCGGCCGCACCAGGGTCGCAAACGGGTACCCGTACCCTACCCGTACCCGGCCGGGTAAGGGTAGGGTACGGGTATCGGGTACCCGATTGCGACCTCTGGGATGAAGCCATGTTGCAGGCGCGGGTGGGTTGATTCTAGGAACTTGAATTGTGAGAAGAGACAAGACGTTGGGAAATGAGTGACAAACGGCGACTCACCAGTGACTCACGGCTTACCCGTACCCGGCCGGGTACGGGTAGCCGAGTATCGGGTAGAGTACGGGTATCGGGTACCCGGTTGCGACCTCTGGGTCAGGGAAACATTTGTCTGGACGTGCATCATCCCACGTACAATGCCATGAATAAGGCAATTGTCCCGGATAATGACGATAAGATGGAACGAATTAACGTCACGTGCCCCCCCTCTCTCTCTCTCGCCCCCCTCCCCCTCCTCGCGCCCCCCACCCCCCCAATTAAGAAGGGTAATTGATTGGATGTTGCCACATTATAAAGCGAGGGTGCGTTTATGATTTGTACCGCGTGCGTTAAGTGGAAGTGGAAAAGCCGGGCCGGGCAGCAGCAGCTGTAAAAATGATAATAATAATAATAGCGGCCAATAAAAACCTCATAATACAATTAAATAATGAAATAACGGCTAATGCCCCCTCCCTCCCCCCACCGTGAGTCTTTATAAATAAATAATTGCACCTCCCACCCGCCCCAAACGATCCCCTCTAATAAATTCAAATGTTGATTTCAATTTTCCCAACTCCACCCCCTCCACCACCATACACTGAGCATTGAGATGAGGTCATGATTTGGGCTGTACCATTCTGTGCGCCTAATGGGTGGAGTAGGTGAAGTTTACGATTACCATGTCCACCCACTCACCCCATGTCCACCACCTACCCCATGTCCACCACTCACCCCATGTCCAGACACTCACCCCATGTCCACCACTCACCCCATGTC